TTTGGATTTGGGAGGTCCATTTGCTCCCTATATAAGCTAATATTGCTGCATATTCCCATTGAGGTGACAAGAATAAGCAAAATAGTGGTTCGGGCGCTTTTCAAAAATAGTACCGGACGCTGTTCCTCTTGTGACGTCATAGCTCCGTGACCTGATCTGACCCGGTCAAGTTTCTTATACCATATGATAGCCAATACTTGCCCCAACATGCATGGGAAGTTTCATCACGATCCATCAACCGATGTCCGTACCATCGGCAGGAAACCTCTGGCGTTGGTACTCAGTTTGTGAAAATCCGGCCGGAGGCTGTTCCCTTTGTGACGTCATAACTCCGTGACCTGACATGACCCGGTCAAATTTTTTTTATCAAAAGATGCGCAAGGTTTGCCCCATAAGGTATCCAAAATTTGGCGGCGCTGCGCGCCGCCGTTTTTGCACTATTTCCGAAAAGCCTCAGGGGGGGGGGGGGGGTTGCACCAACCCCCCCCCCTACATGGGCGAGGGTTAAGGTTCAAAAGCTCGTGAAATGGTCAACTTAACTGCTGCAGTTGCTACGCTCTCGACGAATGTATTATAATGAGGAGAGTTGTTTTTGTTATGCTTTATGTAACATGTTATAAGGAATGCTTTACAGTTTCAATGTAAATATATGGCCGCACTTAAGTCTAAAGCTCCGGGATGTCGCCGAATCCCTCAACGGCGATCTGCAAAACTTCTTATCCTTATTCCCTATGCACTGTATAACGCGGTTTGTGCCACCTTTGCCTAAACTTGATATGCCACGAAAAAGCAAAGAGACTGTATACGAGTTTCGAGAAGAGACTGCACCCGAGCATCGAGAAAAAGGCATGTTTTTTTTTTTGCCAGACAATTGTACGTTGATATTTGTTCGGTGCAACGTTGTGAATTTTGATACAAAATTTGGCAAATCTCACAACTTTAATTGCGAGTTAGCAAGAAATGCTCGGAGTAGGCGTAGAGCCTATAGAAATGGATAGAAATGTCTGCTTCTATTTATCTAATGATCTTACAAAATTAACTTTTTAGTTTTTAGGTTCATGTACATTTTCCCTTGTTAAGTTTTTTTTTTTTTTTTTTTGCTTCGGGCCTTGATCACATTGACACCAAAGTGAGAACATTGCAATCAACCCATTTTTTTTTGTTACAAGATACCAGTATTCCTTTTTCGGTATTGATAAGATCAAGGCCGTGGCCTACAACTAATTTCAAACAAAACCAGCACAAATGTGCGAAAATTGTACGGTCATCCGAAACAAATAACTTTATCAAATGTCATATATTAAAAAAAAAATGCTTTGAACAATGTACCTAATTTAAAGCATTTCAAGTACTTGCCAAGGAGTTTTGAACAGCAAGTAAGTGAATGTAAGCTCATTTTGTAAAACTTTTTTTATGAATTCTTATTAACGGTGCATCGTCAGAGATAACGATTAAAACTATTCGATTAAAGGTATTCAAATATCCAGCTATTGCCGAGAAAATGTAGGTTTGATGGGGTACGAGGTCATTTGCGCCCAACCAAGAAACGTTGTTAGAGGGCGAACATTCAGAAACAGATTAACATGAGGTTATCGAGGTGATTTTCCATGGAAATATATTTACATTCGTTATGTAGTCCAAAACCGTAGATTTCCGAATAAGCGAACCATTTTTAAGGTAAAACTTTTGCATTTGTTTTTGTTTTATTTTAGACAGCTTGAGGCCAAAAATCATATCCCACGTCAAAGGCATCAAAGGAGTAGCTCTATAACACTGGTTCTCACAAAAATGTGAGAAAACTATGCTGTTATATTTTTGTTGTTGCGTTTTGTTCGAATTGCACGGTATTTTACACCCAACATTTCTGTAATTTTCCATCCGCAAGGAAATCAAATAATGTTGAGCTGAGTAAAATGCATTCTCTTATAATAAGCGCATGCAAAACATGTTTTTGAATTTGAGCGGTCCGACCCCGTCGGAGGGTCGCGCAGCAGCTGCCGCCGCGCCGGCGTCCCCTCCGCGGCACCCCTGGCTGCGCCCCTTGTTTTCGCTGGCGGGGACGGCGGCGGTGAAAGGAGGGCCGCCGGTCGGGGCCGGCGCGCCCGAGCCCCAGCGCCGCTCGCCTGCGGACGCCCGAGCCCCGGCCGGCCGCTGCCGCCGCGCCGGTCCAAGGTTGCCGCGGCGCAGCGAGCGGCGACGAGCTCTCACCGTGCCGCGGCCCAGCGGCCGCCGCTAGGAGCGCAGCGCCGCGCGGCCCGGCCAGCGCTCAAAGATAGTTACAGTCCGCCTCTTGGGTCAAAGTGTGGAAACGTTCGTTTCCACACATCGTTTCAAATATCTTCTAACTGGTCCGCGCTCTTTGCAGCACAATGAGCAGCCGGTTTCGGCTGCAGTACTCGCAAGTCGCAACTGGCTGGCCTGAGGTCAGCCCGCTCGAGCCGGCTGCACGGGTCAGCGCGCTGCGGTACGACCCGTCGGCCGCCGCCGGCTCGGCGGGCCGCTCGCGCTAGCAGACGACGCATCGAGTTTTTGATGCGCTCGGCCGCCGCCGCTGACTGGGGGCGCGGCGGTCGCTCCGATATTGGCCGACGAAATGTCCCGCCCGGCTGAGGCGCACGCTGTCAGCCCGGGTGGGCAGGCGAAACTTTCCCACACCGCGTACAGATGTCACTACGGCGGCTTCGGCTCGCATCGCGACCGTGACCACTCTGCAGAGCGGTTTGGAAATTTTGAATTAGCTGGACTTGGGATCGTCATCGTGTCGAAACAAAGGCACGAAGGCCTGTGGAATTGGTAAAATGCTCATTCTCAATGTGTCAGCGGTTTGAGGAACCACTGGCGAATAAACGGCCAGTCAAGCCACATTTTAAAACGATAACAGCTAATTTTGAAAAGAACAAGTACCCAAATTTTTATTTATTAAAATAAACACTTCTTGAATGCAAAAAGTGGTGCTGGTGAGTTGACCTCATCTGGACCTTCTTGGCCTCGGGGGATGCTGACGGAAAAAAGGTTAAAATCCCACACATGTGGCGGTGCCTGTAACCGTCTTGTGCCATACCCAATGTGCCATACTGCGTCATACCAAAGGGGCCACCCTGACTCTTGCCCCTCGTATTCCCGCCAGATCTAAGAACAGGTTAAATAGCGCCACTTTAAGTATTCTTTGACTTATCTATACTGCGATGTATGCCCAACAATTCTGAAAAAAAACATTCAGACACGCCCATGACCTGAGCTGAATCAGACTTGACCTTGACGGTCCAGTGGAAACCACCGACGAATTTGAAATGTAAAACAGGCCATGGCACATGTGATACACGACCAAAATGCAGTCATTTTTGTTTTGCGAATTTTGTGACCTGACCCTTCATATCCATTGTACATGTCCATCGCATCAAAATCTGAGGACCACTGGGTCAGGCACCGTAGTTAGTGGAAAGCATGACGCGCCCGAGTTCAATCTCAGTCAACTCAGTCTGACCCTCTCAACCCTTTCCGCTACTAACCCCCGTCCCTCCCCGTTTCAGGCGCCGGGCCCACCTCCGCCGTGTCAGTGTGCAGTGTGCAACCAGTCCCGGAGATGACCATCAATAAACAGCGCCACCTATACAAATCTGGCGGACGGGCTGCTGGTGCTGGGATCGTCAGTGGGCACATGTCGCCCGTCCCCCTCCCCCTCCCACCAATATACACGGTGAGGCCGCCCGCCCACACCGGAGCCTGCAGGCTACAGTGGGGCATTAGGACTGGGGATCCCCGTACACTGCTGAGTACTGGGGACATCCCTCGGCTCTGCTAGCTCGTATGTGATGATGCAGCCCAGGGAGACAGGCACAACAGTCGGAGAGCTGCGGGCTCTGAGTCGCAGTACGGTAATGAGCATCACTCCTTCATACCGGCGATATTAAACACTTAGGGGATGGTGTGTATTTTAAAGTATGTGAGAATGACTGTCGCGGGCTTAGAAGCAACTAGGTTGAAGGAAACGGACACACTAAGTTGCCAAGAGAACGTCAATGCTTTGTCAAGGGAGCAACACTGACGCTTTGTAGCTGCACTCTGGTTGAATGCTATTAGTTTGATATGACAAATCGGGAGCGAGAAAAGAAGTAAGAAGCAGTTCGGTATGTCAGCAATTCAGTTAGACACATTCCTTATACATTGGCACAAGTCAACATACCCGGGCACAGACAGTGGCACAATCCAGACACGAGTTTTACAACGGCTCCCAGCACTCCCTTCGGCGTGGCATACGCTCAGCAAGTGGCCACCCCACCCACATCATCCCCAACTCACCTCAAACTCAGCTAGACCGGGAGAACACGGCATCGTAGACAGCCGAACGGCGTGAGCACATTATCGGCCCGGTGGGCTCGGCAGCTGCACGGACCTCTCGCGTCGGCGACGGTGCTGGTATGTGGAGACAGACGGCGACGGCGGCCGCTTCGGCCCCGACCGAGCGGCGCGCCGCACGGGCGGCTCCAGGCGCGTGGAAGGTGGGGTCACCGGTCAACCGGATGACCGACCTTGGCCGTCCTGCTGTGGACCTGTTTACTGAAACCTATTTCCACCCCCAGATCACACTCAGACATGAAACTGTGTTGTGGCTCGTCTAATTACATCATGGATTTCGTCTTATTCCCTGTTGCAGCCGATCGAAGTCCGTTCGGCTCCGCGCAGGCGGCTGGCAGTGGCACTGGGTGCGCCCCTGCCGCCCCGCGCCTGCGCAGTAGGCGACTGGCTGGCGACGGCCGAGGGGCGACGTGGGAGCGCCGGGGCCGGGGCCGGGTCGGGCCGGGCCGGCTGGGGAGCGCAGCGTATCGGGGTCGGTCCGCCGCGCCGCCCCGACCGACAGCGGACCGCCGCGCGGCCAAAGTCCCGCCGCCCGCTGCACCGGCCGGAGCGGGAGGGCTCCGTGCAACTCTTGCAGGCTAACTCCTGGTCGGACTGATCCAATAGTTCTGGACAACTGTTAAATGTAGAAATTCAACGGCAATGTAAATTCGTGGATCGCAGATGTCCACCTGGTGGATGTGAGCGTCCAGTCGGCGCAGTCCGTCCCCGAGATGAAAGGCTTGTGGCTCACTGCCGCCGAGCCGGAACGAATGGAGAGAGAATAACTTTCCTGCCCCACGTGCTCCTGTCTTTTGCATGTTGGATTTTGACATTCATGATTCAGTACTCAATAATTATCAATGCATGGATGGAGTGATTGCTCATGGAAGAGAGGGAACAATCCGACAGGAAAGTTTTAAGACACACTGACCACAGTAACCAACTCAATGAACTCGGTGCCCAAAAACCATGACAAGTTGTTGTGCGGGAAGGCTTTCGGAGTTGTGTAACTCAGCAGTACAGGGTGATTTTTTTTTTAACTGTTAAAAAGTAAACGTCAATGGTGGTCCCTAAATCGAAAAATCGCGTGCAAAAAAGCAATGCACGTGATAGATAAATCTGGGACATTTTGTATAGTGTCATCATTTGCCCCTTTTCACCGACGGCCTCGGCCCCAATGGAGCCTGAAAATGTCCCACCAATCGGGCACGCATGGTCCACCGCCGTTCAGTAAAGAACGACACAAAACGATGATTTTGAAGCATTCAAGCAGTTCGAAGCATACGATGATCAAGGAGATACCCCAGAAAGACGTTAAATAATGCAAGAACAAGCTTGTAGTCATAAATAACCTTCAAACGGTCTATCTGGCGTAAGTGCAGCCTCTGAAGAATCAATCTTCAGGGAGAAAGAAAAACAGCGAATCAGACACCACCAGGGCCGCCAGTATCAAAATCCTCGACCTGCCCTCCCTAGACTTCTAGTTTTTGGACCCATCTATGGCAGATATAACGAGAAAACAGTGGAAATATCTGGCAGAGCTGAAAATGGGCGATAGGAGCCTTTTCAGTCCGCCTAATGAGTATGGGAGTCCATGGTGCCGTTCAACACGTGCTCAGGCGGGCTGATTCGTGTCGGTGAGAGAGGGGGTAACTTCAAGCACAAGTAAAATACACGATGGACGTTCCTTCACATCGTGTCTGCATAAAATCAAAATGTCCCAGAATGCTCGTCATCCTGGTATATAATTTTGCAACATGTATTTGCATTTTGACGCCACTAGACCTCATTACTTTTTAACAAGTAAAAAAAATCACCCTGTAGTCTTGCGACGAAGCACGCCCATAATATTTTTTTTTTACTTTCAGTGGAATGACTATGCTGCTTTCTAAGCTACGAAAGGTCACAAAATTGATTTGGCCTTTGTCTCTGGTTGTAAGACAAGAAAGACATCTGGAGCGTATGCCACTGATTCCTTCAATTGCGGAAACCATTTAACACGAAATGCGCTATTTAGACCTTGTGATCTTTTTTTGAACTGCGTGCGCTTTTCAAAAACCTTTGCGCATGTTTTTTTTTCTCAAGACGTCGCGCCCTACAGGCTTTGCGGCACCAAACACTCAGGGGCGGCGGATTCGGGGGGGCAGGGGGGGCAGCTGCCCCCCCTGGCAAAATCGTGGGGGGGCAAAAGTATCTTTTTGCCCCCCCATAATTTGTGACAAAGCTTAGACAAGAAACCATATACCTGATTATTCTGTTCGATCATCTGAAGATGTAACCAGATGTCCATATACTTTCATACGTTGCCTTTCTTAAATGGCAAGCGTTCGCGTTCAATTGAAGTTTTCCTCTCTTCAACCTAGTTTTGGAGGCATTATAAGCGTCAACGTGACGCAGCGGCAGCCCTTCAGTGACCGCTTACAGGGGCGACAGATACGGGGTGGCAGAGGAGGCATCGTCCCCTAATAAACTTTTGGAGGAGGGGCAAACGTATATTCTTGCCCCTCCATAATTTGTGCCTTAAACATGAGGAAAATTTCCATAACCTGATATTGCAGCTATGCGCTCCTACAGTTTGTCCAACGGTGCCTTTTGAATATGTGTAAATGTTAACCATTTCCGCTTTATATCATTTTTTTTGTCTTTTTAGATTCGATTTAGAGATATTTTAAGTGTGCAAGAAACGCAACTCATACCTTCAGTGGTCGTTTGCCGCTATTTTGTACCTACATAAATGCCAAATCGCAAGCGAGCGGAGACGGAAGGGCTAGCCATTCGCTTGCGGGTAGTTAGGACTGATGAGCGCTCATAATAAGCCACTCCCCTGATTTTTTTTTCAAGCGCAACAGTTTCCAGCGCATTAAATGGTAAACGCCGAGGTCGTACACATTGACCACATTGACCAATGCACGGTATGGTATGACACCCAAAGGCCAGTCATCAGAGATCTGCTTTGGGCATTCGGAGGCTTGTGTGGGGCCAGTGTTAAAACTGGATGTTCACAGTTCAGTATCCGCTTTAATTCAGTTGTCACTATTAAAAAAGTAAAAATTAATGATGGAGACTTTTAAGGGTTAGGGCACTGATCATTAGTGCCCCCCCCCCCCCCTGTCTAAAGACTGGCTATAGAATAAAGAGCATCAAACACGAACAGTAGCGGCGGAACACCTTCAATTAAGGGGGGGGGCACTGCCGACTTTTGGTCCCATTCTTTCCATGCAACGCCCATAGGGCTAACGTTAAAATGCCAGAATCAAAGGGGGGCGCGGTGCCCCGGTGCCCTCCCCGTTCCGCCGCCTATGAACACGAAAGCAAAATCTAAGGCATTTTGGAAAAATGAGTATGCCCCGCAGCGTCCGATAACTACCACCTTCCAGTGGGTCAAGCCAACGGGGCCCAAGTCTATAATGGCACTTAACGATAGCACTAACCTTGTCTCACTTTTCGTTGAAGTCTGTTCCGAATTTTGGCCACAGACTGGCTGCACTGAGGTCGTTTGGTATGTGCCACTGTAATTAAAGCCACCTGAGGCGCCCTGACACCAGGCTGAAGCTGGGTTAGAAATGCTTCGTCTTTGCAGATATCACTGGCCACGGATTCTCGAGTGCCTGAACCGGTAGGTGCCGTGGCAAAATTTGGTGATAATTTGGACCTTACCGCAGTCAGTACACCCTAAAGCCCTAATAAAGAAACGCCTCACCCAGAGCTTCTGGATTCTCGTTCCAGTCCACCGTTCCTTCACCTCAGCCCGCCGCCGCGCTCCCTCACCCTCCGTTCCCATCTTGACGAGCGTTTGGGCCTTAGTTAAGCCTTGCTGTAGGCTAACTGTATAAACCCATCGAGACAGCCCGTCTCGGTGAGCTTATTTGGCGAACTACTGCCTTGGGGAGGGTTTCTGGCGGATCGCTGTCCCAATAGGTTTAGATGCGACCGACTGTCTTTGAATGTTTGAGCGGTCTCCTCCCGCTGTGAGCTTGTTTCATTTGATATCTGTCTCAGAAATACTTTTTAAAGGAAGGTTAAACGGAAATCGAACGTAAAATGAACAGAGAAAATGGTAACGAGTTACCTCATTGCAAAGAATAGCGCTCGCCTACTTCAAAAGGTTTGGCACCGTTCTTCAACATCTGATATGCGATCGGGTTATGGCACAATTTTTCCCATTGGAGCTTTTTTCAAATGCAGCAAGACGAAAAGCGTTACATCGTCCACTGGCGGATCCAGGGAGCGGGCATTTAAAGCAAATATTTACTCCCCCTCCCCCTAGGGCCTCTGCATCGCCCGAAATGGACAAAACGTACCTTATGTTTCCTAATAATAACACTTTTATCAGTATTTTTTTTGCTCTATGCTGTTCAGCATTAGGTCCGTAAGGAATCGAAATCCGAGGAGTTTTTGGATTTTGGACACTTTTTTGGGGGTATGTCCCCTACAGCGTCGAAAACGCCTTTCTGGATCCGCCTATGACATCATCTCGACTGGGATCTTGCCCCCCCACGCCAAAATCGAATCCGCCGCCACTGCAAACACTTGCCAGTTTCTGACACACCGGAGTTTAGTCCTGTGAACTGTCTTATGTCTGCTGAGGTAGACAGCAAGGTCCTCAATGTCAAGCACAGCAATCCTTGGGTATGTAAGATATTTTCTGAGATTAGAAAATGGAAGACTGAGATATTTTTTTAGGTTCTTTGGGATGTCCTTGAACGTGACAAATGACCAGCTCTCCTCCCAGTTTGATAAGGGGTGTTCTGTCTTTCTCCAAGTACAGAACACCCTGTGACCCTGGTAAATTAAGAGATTGCGTAAATCATCATCCTAAGCACTCGAATATTTTTTTATTATGCTATATGTGTAAATGTAAATGGATATGGGGCTAATAATTTAGGAGCCGTTGAACGATGCCAGTGACACCTACGGATCTTAGATGAGAAAATTGTAGGCTTACGTAGTGCATAGATGTCGCCACAGTTCTGTGGATGCCGGTCGGCAGTTTGTCAGACAGTCAGAGCCTTGTCCCTTGGGCCTTGTTTACCCTTCAAAACCTGATCGTACTTCTCATCAACGCAATTCTGGCATGTCCATCAAGGCAGCTCATATTCATCCCAGATTCGGCCCGGATTCCTCTCGAATTTGAGACGCCTCGGATCCACTTGAAACTCGCACTCTTGGACCCAAAGCATTCGGCACACCCGTCAGCCGTTTCCAACCTCAGGATACTGAAATCCTTCTCCTCCACGCCGCAACCCCACTGCGGACTGGACAGGCACCTTTATCTCATGCGGGCTGCTCCCTTGGAGCGGCACCGCTGCTCCCGATGGAGCGCACCCCGTAGCCGGGTGCAGAGAATGCCGGGGGGGGGGGGGGGGAGCTGGTCGCCGGTCGGCCTGTCCATTCGGACGGGCTCAGCCCCGGCGACTCTCTAGGGTGTCTGCCCAGACCAATGTCTCCTCCTAATTTCTATCTTTCTTCCGGCTCTGAAATGGTCTGGTCCGACCGAAAGGGCCTAACCCAACAAAACAAACAACAAAGCATTCGGCGGTTCTTCAATAGGCTTGGCCTACAGAGTTAAAAACGGCACAGTCCCTAATTTCCACGGTAGCTTGTTGCCAACCGAGTGGGGCAAGAGCGTTAAAACCGGCGCTAAATTACTCGCCATATCGACACCTTTTTTAAACCCCACATCTCTTCTCTGGTGAATTTCCGTGAAGCACGAAAGATCTCTTTTTAGAAGTGTCCAATCGTCCGATCCTGATCAAATTTGTGTGTTCGTAGGCTTGCTCTGGCATTGCTTGATCTGCCAAGACAGACAAACTTGAGAAAAATCGAGTGACTGTACCTTTTTTGAAGGTTTCTAAACAACTTGTCTGAACTTCACGGGAGAACAAATGTGGGGTTTAAAAAAAGGTGTCGATATGAGTGATGGCTTGAAACCTTTCCCACTACGGGCTACCGAATTGTGTGCTTTCGGTCTCAATTATTCCTACTCTCCGCCGTTCCGTCATTTCCATCCTCAGGATAGTAAAATCCCCTTCCACGCCTCCACCCCCTGTCCTGAGCTGGACAGGTGAGTAGTAAAGTAATCTTGGGACAGGTGACTTCATCCCATGCGGGTAGCTCCATACGGGTAGATAGGACTGTCCCAACGAGGCAATTCGGCCCCTCCTGGATGGTCTCGCATCCATGGCTCACTGTCGGTTAGCCGTGTTTTTTTTCGGCCTTGCTCCCATCAACAACATGTTCCTATTCGTATATTCAAGAACTGCTGTGCAACTGTTTTCTTTTCGGCTTTACCCGTAAATGACCTTAAGTCATTGGGTGACCTTCAGGGGTAAAATTGATAGTGCCTAAGTGGAAAAGTAAGTTTCGGACCGCCGCCGTCATGGCGAGTCGTTTAGCGTTGTTTTCAGCCCTCAAGCTTTACATACAGGATGGGCCACAATCTGCTGTGCTAATTTGCGAGTCTTCAATTTTGTCGACCGCTACAGGTCAAACTGTTAGGAGTGCCGCAAAATAGTTTGGGCCATGTCTATTCCACCCCAAGGGCTCTGTCGTGTGCTTGTTTCAAACAAATCTGAGGCGTCCCTTATGTGGGCTGAATCCGGACTGAACCGGTCTGAATAAGGGCTGAGACTTCGTCTGTTTCTCCCCTATTAAGCCCAGTTCGCTCTTGGCTTTAGTTAGTAGCTCTGGGATCATGCGTAAATTAACGCTACCCCCTGTGTTTGATCGGTTTGCAAGTGAGACTTATTTTCTGTTACGCGATGTCGTCTTATGTCTCAGTCTATCTCTAATAGGTATTTTTATATATTTTATCAGGTAATAGATATTTGTTAATTATCGCGAATTGGACGGTATGTCGATAGGCCCAGATTCGACACTGTTCAATGTTCACTGCTTTGGCTTGGCTGCAGTTGCCGTGATAAGTCACCCTGACGGCCGTCGGCTGCAAAACGCCCGGCAGGTAGACTGTGCCGCAGGGCGTGGCTGCTGTGCGGGGCAGTATCTCGGCCGTAAAAACACGACAACATCCAAACTAAACACGCTTTTGTTGTGGCCTGGACACTCGACAGTGGTCTAAGGGAATTATATGGTTTTAGTGAAAACGTTCTAACATGTCGGTGGCCCTCCGGAGTCCGGAATCCATTAGAATTAATTACATCGTATTAGATCTATATAGTATTGTATCATTCTGGGCCTCCCGAAATAACTAGCTCGACACATAGCAGTCTCTGCCCCACTTGTGGATCGAAAACGGGGTGCCCGGGATTCAAAACATTTTTCCCTTTTCCTTGCCCCTAAAGGAAATTATCTTAATAAGAATTACCTAATTTGCTTTTAAATGGCCATGCAAAGCAACTTACTAAAAGCGAAATCCATTTTTTTTTTAATTAGTGAAACTTTTAGTCTTGTTGGAAAAAAAATTATTTAAAAACTTCTTGTGGCGCCTTACAACCGCCACAATTTGCCACGCCTTGCCTTGAAATTTGCGGGTCGCTTCGTTTATTTGTAGCGAAAGCTTTCGAAAGACGTTCGTCTTTCTTCTTTAGCCTGTTTAAAAAGCACTGAAGCACACTACACAGACAGAGTAGATGAGACAGTTTTTAAGGATGTAATTTGATAATAAGCGTTAGGCAGCGAAGATATGTCCTTCATATTATCACATTGCACAAGCCTTTCACGTATGTTTCAGGACAGAACATTGTACAATGTTGTGAGTTTAAAGTGAGATAGACTTCATGATTTTCCGTATTGAGCTTTGATTGTCAAATGAAATTCTCAGTTATATCAGTTACCCAAATCGCCTTTTTCTCACTTTCTCTATGCCTACAGGTATATAGAGAAGTCTGTGCTACAGGTCATGGACAACGTCAATTTGCATTACTGGCATCGCCATCCCGCGTATTTTCACGGAACACGGTCTCTGGTCAGCGAATACCCAAGTCAGTGTTTATTCAGCAATTTTCAGCTTCTCGACAAGTTTCCGCCTCCTTCGGGCGCACAATCCGCTGTCTAATGAGTTGTGACATCACGAATGACGTCATGTCCGCTGAACGGCTCCACTCGGCGCTCCTCTCACGACTATCGGTGACTACGCCGGCTGTGTCAATAGCCGCGCCAGCCGGGGTCAGCACGCGACGCGATAGCACTGGGGCCGCCAGTGGGGCTGTCGGCGTGCCTCCCTGAGTCGCACGCGCCACGCCGCGGACGCTTCAGCTACGAAGACGTGTGTGGCGTGCTACGAGTCACCACTGCTGAATGTGAGGCTCAACTGACTTGCCTTTACCGCCCTGTGTATTTCGTGGCACGGTGATCACGGTGACCGACTGTGTGTGAGTGACGGCGGTGCCAGGCGGCGACGAGACGGCCAGTCACCATGACGACTCCAGAAGGGGACGGTAACCCGCCCGACGTCGGTGCCACCGATAACCCGGACTGCCAGCGAGCCATCAGAGCAACCACCACGGCTCAGCTACTCGAGGGTTGGTATCTCAGTGGCGACGGTAGCATGACGGCGCAGCGTGAGATGTGGTTTTACAACGTTTCTGCACGCTGAGCAATAAACAATGCACAAAAAGCATGTGCACAGAAGTCGAGGTGAAGGTTGATGATCAACGTATCATACCTACTGGGAGAGCTGTAAAATGGTTAGCGTGCGACGCATGATTGTTCATGGTTTATTTTTCTTAGTGATGTAATCGCAAGGTCCTTTTGATTATGGTTGTCGTGAAAGGTCAATGCCTGATCGAAACCAGATGACCGTTTTAAGCCAGCCACGTCAATATCTATGTGTGGTGTTAAGTTCGTGTTTTTATTTCATACACCCTTTATGGGCGTGACTTATCTCGATATCGGCAAACAGCTGATTGAAAAGATTGCGTGCCGACGAAATACCTAAGTGCGCACTGCGCATATTCCGGAACAGACTGAAAAGTGTTTGCTTTGCCATTGCTGCTGCATTTCTGTTTGCAACTCTGAATTGTTTTATCCATTGTTTCTGCTTTTAACGACGGCTGCCTTTCAGATCTCGGCGGCTATGCGATCGCTCTATGGACGATCGCATCCGTCATCGTTGTGATACTTCTCCTGCTGATGGTGAGAACGACATTGTACGTCAACAAGGCCGCTCCTAAACACTGGCGGAGAAAAATCGTCTGGATCAGCTCTATCTACCCGGTACGTATAAAAAGACTTGAAGCGGTATTATACAATACTGAACGAGGCCGGTGTAAATAAATTTTCAAGACCGAGGTCCTTACTGAATTTTTGAACGAGGCCGAAGGCCGAGTTCAAAAATCAGTAAGGACTGAGGTCTTGAAAATTTATCACCGGCCGAGTTTGGTATGTATTTTAGCATATGCCGGAGTATGTCTTTAGCATTAGCGCGAGCGTGCGGTAAAAGCTTTTTAGATTAAACCGCATAATGTTGAAGGCTATTGAGCAAAGATTTCGGCCCATGGGCAAAACATTTTATCAGCGAACTTTTGAAGCATTTCCTGAGACGGAGGAAGGCGCTGGAAAAGAGCTTAACTGATAGAAATCTAACGTGAACTTACGTGTTGCATTTGGTCGCTTTGAACTATTGAACAGATTGTAAATGTTGGTTTTCAATAAGATAATATTTTAAATCCTAATGTACAGACATATTAATTAATCACCTACATTTATGGCGTCCATTTCATGTCTTTTACAACTGCAATGAATTGACAAAAAACGCATTTCACATTGATCAGTAAAAACTTTATTCATACTGACATGGGTAAAAAACCAAGCGCTCACTTCACAGGATGGTATACCTTCGACTCTTCTCTAATATTGAAAACGAACGTTACTCTAGCTTCTCATATGACATAGATTGAAATAGATGTTCTTGGTTTGATATGAATCCAACTCAGAGCCAGACACAAGGATGGAACACAGTGATCTTGAGTCGGCTTGGTTTATTATCTTGGTCAGGGAATATGTACATTTTTTAGTTCTTGATATTCGTTATTGGTTTTTTCACTTCTTTCAAGCATGTACAATTGTTAAAGAAGCTTAAATATGGAAATTAAACGGCATATGCTAAAATAAATATCACACTTGGGCCGGAATGTTTCATTCAGGACCTCGGGCTTTGTTGAATTTTCCGCCCTCGACCTTCGGTCTCGTGCGGAAAACTCAACAAATCCCTCGGTCCTGAATGAAACATTTTACCGGCCCCGTGTGATATTATATATTACTGTATGCCAACGATAAAATAATTGTCTAGACCGAAGCTCTTAGCCATTTTTTGAACGAGGCCATCCCAAAATGTTGACTTGGTAATTCGTTTTTGACCGTGGTCACCAGGGTTACCGCTGCTAGGGAAATTTCCCTTTTCTATGGAAATCAGCGAAGATCTAGGGATATATGGATTTCACACGAAATCTAGGGAAATGCCACAAACCCGAAAAATTGTTGTTTTTTCAACAATCGAAATCATTATTGTCATAAATTATTCTTCCGCATGCTATATCAAATAAATATGAGAACATTTTTTTTCACAAAATTAAGGTTTGATGCTCTCGTTTTAAAGATATAAAGGGAATTACATATGTATGCATGTAGTTATAAATAATTCTTGCTATTATGTCAAAACGAACTGCTTCTGCTTTGTACCATTTCGGGTGCGGCTAATTTTTTACATCAAAGTTTTTGTTTTGGCGTGATTTTTACAATGTCTAGCGCACATCACTTCCTTACGGTTAAATTGACGGTGCAAAATAATGCATCGACTCGTGTCTCTTACGCCAGCACTACCGCTACCCATACGGCAGTTTCCCGCGTCTCGCAACACCACAATTTGCGATATACCACTCAATTATATTATACCACGTACAGTAATTTGCTATATGCCAGCAATTTCATTAGAATCTCTTACGTTAACGTCATAGAATGTAGCAAATTGCTGTTTTGGGACGCAGCGACTATAAAACGAATGGTTTGAATGAGGAAAGTACGTCAAATTCCATGAAAATAGCCGTATCTAGGGAAATGATTTTTTAAAATAGGGAAATTTTCGTGAGAATCTGGGGAAACCAGCGAGACGCCAGCGGTAACGCTGGTGGTCACTTTGCTTACACCAGTTATTACCACACCCCTCAGGCTAATGTATTTGAATAGGCCAGGCATACAGTAATCGATGGACTTGCTAAATGCATTGTATGTAGATACAATAACGATATTAGTCCTTTAAGCATGACAAAGTCGACAGATGTATTGGTCTGTTTTGTCTGTTGGTTTGTGTCAGTTCATGTGTTTAGTTTGTCGGTTTGGGCTTACTTCAATTCGTGCGTCTTATTTGTCAGCGGTTTTGGTGTGTTGTGTAATGTCGTGCATATACCTAATTTCTCGGCACATGTTCGTTTCAGTTCGTATGTTTGATGTGCCTCTGCAGCCTGATAGTGCCCGGAGCAAACACTCTACTCAGCGACGTGGGAATCATGTGAGTTGGTTTTTGGGACTTTCAGTTCGGTGATTTAACCAAAAAGTAAAAAAGAAACGACAAAGTTTCTTAATGTCTCTGTTGATTTTTATAGGAAGCTGGTGAAAGGTGAGCGCTAGGTGAAGTGCAGCCCAATTATTTTGTCAAACCATATTACATTCATAGTTTAATCGTCGTATCTGCTCTTCGCCTGCCCACCGCTGGAGTCACCTTCACCCTCCCTGCCCGTCTGTGTCTGACCACCAGCTTCATCAGTATCGGCGTCTCCAAGTTCGTGGATCTGTGTATGATGTACTTTGGCGGCGAGTCGTCCCTGCTGCTGGCCGTCGGTCAGATCGACGTCCCGCTGGCCGCCCGGCCCCTATGCTGCTGCTGCCGCCCCTGCTGCCCCAGCGTGGCCATGTCCAAGTGAGTCCGGGGAAAAGAAGGATAACAATGTGGGGGAGTAGAATGCTGTGACAAAGAAACTGAGCCGATAGGTGTCCACCGAAACTACTCTGGAATTCCGGTCAACGTGGCTGGTCCAGAATTCAGGTCTTTGATGCCATGCGATCGCTCTATGGACGATCGCAGTCATCATTGTTGTGATACATTTGTTTATTAGGGCTTTGTACTAACGCCCACAAAGCAGAAACATAAAAGAACGAATCATCGAGCGACCTCTCTGTAGGCGCAGCCCCACGCTCGGCGCCACCTACGATAGTGCTGCCCAGACGACCTTCCCATACAGATCGCGCTGGCCGCCGCCCAGCTTTCTGCGAACGATGTCCCGAAGTGATGAACTTATCAACGTTTTACGTTTTGTTTGCGCTTATCTGGTGGTTCTACGCTTACTCTGCGTGGTGCCCTGACTTTTCCCCATGTGACCACAATGTGACTGTGCTCTGCAGGCACCACCTGAAGACGATGAAGATGCTGGTTTACCAGCTGCCTTTCACCCAGTCTGCCTACTGTCTAATTTACTCGTACCTCTTCATTGCCAACGTCACCAGCCCCGGACAGGTGAGTGGCCCTGTCAGGGTGGGCGGGGGCTGAGCGGCGGATGATAGCGATGGCACGTCTCCAGGGTTTCTACAGTCTTTATGCGTGCTCCAACCGCTGGTTTAATGGTTTATATAGTTTATTTTATTTTGGTTTATTTAGACGTTGGTTTATTTATGTGGGCAGAGTGCTAAAGGCTTTTGCAAATCACCACATGTAGTCCAGGCGCGCACACAGGATTTTTGAATGGGGGGGCACGACCTTCGAACTGGGCCCCCCCCCCCATGCCGAAGGCCCCCCCCCCCCAAAAAAAAATACGGTCCACGGGGCTATATTTCGGTTGGTTTGAAGCTTGAGCAATTGGTTTGTCAATGCATGGTCGGTAAAACAATTATTTCGGTACCAGCTTAATTTTCAAAACATATATATTTTTACGCTAGCATGTTTTTTAGCATGTTTTTTTTTTCGCGGACCCCGGGCCCGCGAGTCACCCGGTGGCCCGGGGTCAGCTCAGGCAAGGATGTATCCAGGACCTTTCGATGGGAGGAGGAAGGCACGGTGGGTCCAGTCTCACTGGCAGACGGGTCTCTTTAAAACGGTCTTTGCATGAGAAAATGTGGAAAATCGGCAAGCAAAAGTATCATTTATGCCCGAGGAGTGTGCCTAATGTACACTAATGCCTAATTTACGTGGTATTTTACGAGCGAGCGAAGCGAGCGAGCTCCTCAGAGTCACCGGTGTGTGGCGCGCTCAGAGGTGCCAGTGAAAGGCCGTCAGATGCGCTGGTGTTGGGTCCTCACAGGCGCCGTTGCGGGGTCTCAAGGGCTTAGAGACACTGGTGGGGCCATCATTGGCATGTGTGTGGCCCTGCAAAATGGCCTGCAAGTGGAAAGTGGCCCGTCATAGGCTGGCAAGGACACTCGGAGGCTGGTAAGAGGCCCTCAGAGTCACTGGTACGTGGCCCTCAGAGGCGCCGGTGTGGGGACTCTCAGAGCCGCCGATGTAGGCCCTTAAGATGCGCTGGTGGGGGTCCCTTGGAGGTGGGGCGAGGGGCCTCGCAGTTGCCGTTGTGGGTGCCTTTAGAAACACTGGTGTGGACCGTGTGTCTATCACAGACGGATGTGGAGCCATAGCAGCCAATCCCTCGTTGGCCGTTACTAGGGCCCTGAGCGGCCGGCGAGGTCTCTCAGAAACCGGCATTGGGCCTTTATGAAGATAATTGTGGCTACATAGGAGCCAATAACGTGCCCCCACAAGCCCTGTGGTGTCCTTCCGAGTTGAAGTGCGGCCAGCGCGAACCCTCTGCTACCAACTGGCGCCGCAGGGCCCCTCGGTTTTGAACTCGCTCCCTTGCTATGTCACTGAATCCAAGTGATTAGGGGGCCCTTTAGGTAATCAGGGGCGTTTCAGATGGCCAGGGGTTTTCGATTGATCAGGGGCCCACCAGGTAACCATGGCCCCTCTGGTAACCAGGCGTTAAGTAACGAGGAACCCCATCAATAACCAGGGCCCCTCAGTAAACGGGGGCCACTCAGGTAAGTGTAGGAGTCCCGCAGAAGGGCCGGCAAGGTTTCTCAGGTCCGTTTTTTGACAAGGCTCTTATTGACTCAGGTGCGAGCCCTTTGCCATCAGCAGGGGGCCCTTTCAAGCCTTTTGAGGGCCGTTTAACGTCTCTTGAGTTCCCATTGAGGCCTTCTAAGGGCCCTTTGAGCAGTCGAGGGGCCTTTGAGGCCTTTTGAGGGCCTCTTGACGTCAGCTGAGGACCGTTGGACGCCAGCTGAGGATCGTGTTTTCGGGCCTTCTGATGGCCATTAGACGCCAATGGATGACCCTCTGACACCAACTGGGGCCCTCTGACACCAGCTAGGGGCACTTTAAGTTTGACGCTAGCTCAGGGCCCTCTGGCATTAGCTGGGGGGCCCTCTGACGCTAGCTCAAGGCCCTTTGACGCTCTTTAAGGCCTTCTGAGGGCCCTTGAGGTTTTCTAAGGGCCCCTTGAGGCTTTTTGAGGGCCGCTTGACGCCAGCTGAGGACCGTTTGAGACCTTCTGATGGCCATTTGGCGCCAGCTGGGGGCCATCTGGCACCAGCTGGGGGCCCTCTGTCACCAGCAAAGGACTCTTTAGAGCCTTCGGAGAGCCGTTCGACGCAAGGGCATGACCCTCTGACGCCAGCTCAGGGACCTTTGACAGCCTTTAAGGCCTTCTGACGTCCGTTTGACGTTAGCTGAGGGCCCTTTGAGGCTATCTGAGGGCCCTTTAAGGCCATCTGAGAGTCCTTTGAGGTCATCTGAGGGCTCCTTAAGGCCATCTGAGGGCCCTTTGACACCATCTAAGGGCCCTTTGACACCAGATGAGGGTCCTATGACGCTAAGTGAGGGCCCTTCGAGGCCATCTGAGGGCCTTTTGAGACCATCTGAGGGCCCTTTAAGGCCGTTTGAGGGCCCTTTGTACACGGTCTTCGGTGGTCTAAGGATTAGTTAGAGGCCCATTTGAGGCGGCCGAAGGCCGCCTCAAATGGGCCCCTTCCTTCGAGTTGGGCCCCCCAACTCGAATGGGGGGGGGGCACGGGCCCGTGTGCCCCCCCCCCTTGTGTGCGCCCTTGATGTAGTCTGATAATCCCAATATATAAACCTAGGAGAGCTGTGAGCATTGCTGAGGATAACGCTTTCCGACGCCAAGTTACACTACAACGTGACGTACAGGGATTGTTATACCTCTCTCCAGATTGCGTTCAACGACGCCTACATCTACCTGACCGTGTTCAACATGGTGTCGACCCTGTCGGCCATGTACGGGCTGAGCATGTTTCTGCAGGTCACCAAGGGCAATCTGCAGCACTACCACTTCATGGTGAGCCGAAGGACAGTCAACGCTGCAAGCAGTCAAATAGGACTTCATTGTTCACTTTTGTTTTTGTGATAATTTCCGATGACGCAAGGAGTCCAGTTCAGCCCATATTGTGAGGAGAATGTTAAGTTGCGCCACGGATATAACTGGCTACTGATTGATGGCTTGCCATATTAATGTTGAATTTTGCGAGCTATCGGGACCACTATATATAGTGGTTTATGGATGTGCATGTTTAAGAAGTTGCACATCATTATATCATCATCGTCACTTACCATCCACACATCACGAACCGACTACCTTTAATTACAGGCTAAGGCTGTGGTCATGAAGCTGACCTTGATCTTCGTCAAGTTCCAAGACATAATATTTACCATCAGCATTAACTACGGAGGCGTGTCAAGCACCAAACACATGCCGCCGCTGGTGTATGGATTCTGTAAGTCGCCTCGCGCTGATGCTTCCTCTATTAGCCGGATGCTCATACTGCGCTGTGGCAAGTGCAGCATTCCGAACGGTGACGATTTATTGTGACGATTTTTCACTTCTTGATTTTTTAACTGCTCTTCTGAGTCTTATTAATTTCCTCTTGTGGGGTACTTGTAGAGTTATCTTGTAGGGTACAACTGACTCACACTACGTTTGCCATGTCGCCAGATATCCGTGACATCGTCGTTCTGCTGGAGATGTTCATGCTCGGTCTGCTGGCGCACCGTCTGTACACGGAGCCGAAGCAGTACAGGGTGGCCGCTGAGAGGCTCTCCAAGGCCCGCCTGCAGCCACTCGCCCCCGGCAACTCCGACTCCAACTCCGACTCCGACTGCGACTCAGATGATGGCACCCAGAGGCCGGTGACCGGCGGCAAACGCTACGAGAAGATTCACACACCCGTCGGCGGTGAATGAGTTAGTGCCTGAGCAAAAACCAAGTGCTTCATGTTTTGCCATGCGATAAGATGAGCGCTCGTGACCATATGGTAAGTTTCAGAATGAAAAGCATGCTTAGTAGTTGTTCAGAGCAAGGCATTCTATTCTCTTTACTTGTTTATGCTGTGATGCATTCGCCGGTCGGCTCAGCCGTGGCCGCGCTGTCCCGCGTGCTATTGAGGCGATTACCTTAGCAAAGCTTTATTTCAATCTTTTTGACTGATTATTTTTTCATTTTTTTTTTTCATGAGATTGTGTTTCTTTGCTTCATCTTTCACTGTCTCGAGTTTCTTTTTATTCTTCCTTTTCATATGTTGGAACGCCTTCGATATACCGTATACGAGTGTTGGGAGACAATGCTAGACTTGCCCAGCCTATGATTCAATGCCTTTTTAATTGACATTTACTTTTTAACAGTTAAAAAAAATCACCCTGTAGATATCATCGACAAACAGGGTGTGTTCCAACGATGGTAAAGTCCGTTAAGTGTCTATTTGGATTGTAGGTGCTAGTTTACAATGGCAGTAGGTGGATACAGAATAGAAGGCATGAGCATTCTTGCTACGCGATTAGGGGAGGTAGCTAAGCGGCACTACATTTTCCATAGGCGCGTATGTGCGTGAACGGCATGTTGATGTACTTATGTATGTTCTGTGTAGTAGTGTGTAGTCATGCTATAAACTTCGCGGCAGCTGCTGCGTATTGTTTTGTAAGGTTCAGGACTGGGGCCGGCGAGGTTTAGTAAGATCTTTGGTAAAACCGGCATCACGGACAGCGATTTTGAATAAATATAAACTTATATAACTGATAATATATTATAAATTCAACTGCGCCTACCGTTTCCGAAGCTCCAATTATGCATTATAAGTATTTACCAAAGTATCTGTTTACGTATGCAAATCGAAAATCCCGCTCTATTTAGGCACTGGCCACTGGGTGTTGGCATCCACACCGTTATGATTGATATTCATCGATAATATCGATGATACACCAGTGACACATGATACCAGTAACACGATGATACACCCGGTAAGACAAACGCGACCTCGGACGGTAATGGACTTTTACCTACTTTTACGCCATAATCATAAATCAACGTTCCCCGTTTTATTTTGACTGCACCCTGTTAGAGGCGAGCACCTCGAATGCACCTACACAGAGTGGAAAGATTTGGCTCAAGAAAGATGGTAACTACAAGTTAAAAAAAGAAATGTTGGTGTATTAGGTACCTATGCATGTACCTAATACCTAATAAACCCATACATCTTTTCGAAACAAGGCCAATTGAAGCCAACCACACCGACTTCAACGAAACGGGATTCCACAAAATTAAGTTTGGAAGTGACCACAGATCAAATGAACATGCACAAGAAAGACTAAATTCAAACTTCCACTCTGTTCACATGACAGTTGCTTGTGATGAAGCGCCTTGGATGTCCGGCTAGTACATATTCGATGCTCGTCGAACGGCCTCAGAGACTTGTCAGGCCTTAATTCGATTTCCGCCCGTTTGGGTCTGACCTTGTGTGTGCGCTGATGGCCGGTGACTCTGCAGTTTCAGCGTTCTGTTTATTTGTGAATGAATATGATGAACGATAGCGACTTAAATTAAGAAGGCTCGTCAAACTGGGCAAACATTTTGTCAATTGATGGCATTATGTGACCCACCGCGATCGGCTTCGTGGAACTCGCGACTGCTATGCCAGGGTGTCGAGGCGGACAGTATTCCCAGTACGGTAGCGCGCCGGATGGAGTTCAGACGACCACTCACGATAGTTGGTGCTCTGTCGGATGGCTCTGAGGGGTGGGACGTCAGTCCGACCGAGTCGACAGAGGTGGTCACACGCGACCCAGTCAGCACGTCTTCTCGGCAGGATTTTGGGAAGGTATCTGGATCGCTGGTAGATTTTTTGAAGTGAACCTTGACTGCTGGGTACGCAGTCATGGTGGCCCCTGAGAGTGTGGACAAGAAGCCAGCGGAGACGACAGACGATGGACCGACCTTTGACGACGTTCTGCGTCTGGCCGGGGGCAGCGGTCGCTGGCAGCTGAAACACATTGTCTGGCTCTCCAAGACTTGCATCAATCTCTCCTTCTTCTTGATGGGTATGATTTTCCTGGGAGCCGAGCCGGAGCACCGGTGCGCGGACGGGTTCGCCGCCGACGTCGGGTTCGCCTCGCTGCCTGCGGACGCGCCGCGCTGCCCGTCGGCCGGCGCCAACTGCTCCCGCTGGGTGTACGACACCTCTGACGTGGGGAACACGGTGGTGGCGCAGTGGCACCTGGTGTGCGGCCGGAAGCCGCTGCTGTCGCTGCTGCAGTCGGTGCCGATGGCCGGCGGTCTGCTGGGCGCGCTCACCACCGGCATGTTCGCCGACCGGTTCGGCCGGCGGCCGGTGACGCTGGCTGGCTCGACGTTGTACGCCGTGACGGCGCTGGCTAGCTGCGCCGTCCACCACTACCAGCTGCTGCTCGCCATCCGCTTCGTGTCCGGCGTCGGGTGCGCCTTCTCGCTGTCACCGCTGGTGGTGCTGATCCTAGAGATTGTGACGCCCGAGTGGCGGCTGCTGATCGGCCTGCTGATCCAGGTACCGTTCGCCCTGGGCGTGATGGCGCTGTCAGCGATGGCCTACCTGCTACCCAACTGGTGGCACCTACAGCTGGCCATGGCGATACCGACGCTGCTCTACATTATCGACTTCTGGGTGATGCCCGAGTCGCCTCGCTGGCTGGTGCGCACCGGCCGGCTACCGGCTGCGACTGCCGTGCTGCGCCGGATCGCGGCCACTAACGGCGCCGTTCTACCAGACGACGACGCGCTGTCCCAGATGCTCCAGCGCGTGTACGAGGCCGAGAGGAGCCAGAAGGTCGCGGCGGAGGCCAACGGCTGTCTGTCGTTCCTCGGACAGCTGGTGCAGTTGCTGCGCACGCCCCAGATGCGCCGCTACATGCTGGTGACGTTCTTCTGCTGGCTGGCCGCCGGTCTGAGCTACTTCGGAATCGCGTTCGACCTGGGACAGCTGTCGGCCAGCCGGTACGTGGCCAACTGTCTGTCGGGTCTGGTGGAGATCCCGGCCTACATCGTGCCGTGGATGACGGCCACCCGCTGGGGCCGCCGGCCCACCGTCTGCGCTCTGTTCCTACTGGCGGCCGCCTCCATCCTGCCGGTGGTGGCCGTCCGCGACTGGCGGCTCAGTCTCACTCTGGGCCTGCTGGGCAAGTTCGCCGTGACCGGCGCGTTCGGCCTGCTGTACGTGTACACGCCCGAGTACGTACCCACGCTGCTGCGCACCATCGGCCTGGGTGCCGCCTCGGTCAGCGCCCGAATCGGCTCCATCGTGGCGCCCTTCATCATCGACCTGGCGCGCGAGGCGCACCCGAGCGCGCCCACGGTGGTGTTCGGCGTGCTGGCGCTGCTGGCCGGCCTGGGCGCGCTGCTGCTGCCGGAGACGGCCGGCCGCCACCTGCCCGAGACGGTCGCAGAGCTCGAGAGCGGAGCCTGGCTGCGCCAGCCGCCCGACTGCCGCGAGACCATCGCTGACCTGCTGCCGGGCGCGCGCCGCGACCAGCGCGCCGCCTCCTAGAGCACCACCTCAGTCGCGAGCGGGTCCCCGAAGGACAGCGAACCAACAGTCAACTATGCAGACTTGAGACTCGACTATGCATACTGATGGGTGGGAGTGCGGGAATTGACCGCACTAGGATCGATGCTGAGAGGGGGAGAGGATGTGGTACCTATATGGTAATATGTTCTGCTTATCAATGTAATAATGACTTAGCCATATTCGCTAGTCAATAAGCGATTCGCCTCAACAATTGAACGTGTGTGCTGTGCGTATATCGCTGCTCAGTGATTGGTCCACACATACAAAATACAAAAACATGTTTTTGTGGTGCCGATGGCATGCTCTTGACGTCCTCCCTGAAGTGGTTAGATAAGAGCATATCTATAAGATGTGTGCATATTTATATAAAGCAATATAGTTCAAGAGGCCACTGCAAGACGAACGAGAATGAGTTAACCGTCTTTTATCAGACAACCTATGGGGAAGGGTCAGTTTCAGTGGAACATACTCAAACTTATTTGGATGCAGGATGACCAAACATTTAGGTAGGTAGGTAGGTACTGTTGTGGCTTCTCCGGTCCCCCGTCCAACACTGTGCCACACCAGTAAGCAAATCTCATAACGAACAAGTCTATGGACTTACAGGTATATTTACAACTGCAACTCGACCCTCGACCTGACACGACATAAGGGACATGTATTCGATACCCTGATGTATTCCAAGGCCGTATAAGTTAGGTAAGATCGTCCGGGCTCGCTAATGTTACAAATCTGCAACACTACGGTGACGTCACCGGGGCATACGCTCCCTGGCTCCATCCGGACCCTGATGCGGCGGCTGGAATCGCTGCTAATCGAAAAATTACTTGTGCAATAGCGCTTTTAAATGACTTTAAAAAGGGGAAAATATAATAGCAAAATAATTATGAGAATCCCTTGTCCTGACTGGGATTGTATGACCCCGCCACCTATCGGACAACGTCGTAATTAGGGTTGAGTTGGAGATCGCCAGATGGCTTGTCAGTAAGCTGTCAGCCGGACAGGAGAGGGGCCGTCAGGCGCTTAATATTATGTAAACGCCAGATCATGCTCAGGAAAATGCGACACGCTTAAGAACGGTCAATTATCTCGAAAAAATGCGGTGCCCTGTGGTGATATGGCCCACAGGACTCGGGACCCGTAGGCCGTATACGGCCTACGGGTCCCGAGTCATCAGGGGCCTTATAAGGCCCCTGTGGTCACCGGCAGCTCCCAAGGCCCCTACGGACGCGATACATGCTTCGAAAATCGCTAGACAAAGGACTCACGGGCGCAGCCAAGGGGGAGGGGCACTGACACCGGGCTTTAGCCCCTTCCAAATCTAGCAGGCGCCCTCTGGAAAGACGCCATCCAGGGCGCCGCCTTCCACGATCATTCTGTGCTCCGATGGCGCATTTTCAGTGTCCAGCACTCTAGTCGCCCTCGAGGGTAAGCCATTGCGACGTCATCATGCGGTACTGGCGCCCAGATTTACAATTTTATATCTCTTTGTGGCCTTGTGGGTGAAGATGCACCCACAATCCTGAAATGCCGGATATCCACTCCCAATCTCCTGACCATCTAGCGCCCTCGGCTCACCTTCAGCGCCCTTCTGTCTGCTCGGCGCCCTTCTGATCTGTCGGCGCCCTTCTCGCCCTTCAGCGCTCTCCTGGCCTGTCGGCACCCTCCTCACATTCGGCGCCCTCCGGGCAGACCAGTTAGCGCACGCATGGACATAATCACACAGCATCCTCCTGATCTGTCTCGCCCTCCACACTTGTCAGCGCCCTCCTGACCTGGCAGCACCCTCCTGACCTGGCAGCGCCTATCGTATTATAGCGCCCTCCTCACCGTACAAAGCCCTCCTGACCTGTCGCCATCCTCCTCACTGTATATAAGCGGCCTCCTAACCATACAAAGCCCTCCAGACCGGCGCCCTCTACGTTCAGCGCCCTCCTGACAAGTCGGTGCCCTTTTCACCGCAGACGGCCCTCCTGATCTGTCGGCGCCCTCCTGACCGCACATCGCCTTCTTCACCTTGTCCGCGCCCTCCTCTTTATACACTATACAGTGTCCTCCTGACCTGTCATCGCCCTCTTCACTCGTATAGTGCCCTTCTCATCGTACAGTATCCTCCTCACCATGGGCGCCCTCCTGACCTGTCGGCGCTCTCCCCACCATACAGCGCCCTGCTGCCTTGTCGGCGCCCTCTTCACGGACAGCGTTCTCCAGATCTGTCGCAGCCCTTATCACCGTGCAGTGCCCTCCTGACCTGTCAGCGCCCTCGCCTGTCGGCGACATCTTCGCGTTCAGCGCCCTCCTGAGCAGCCTGCGCCTTTTGCAACGCATAGCGCCCTCATCACCATGCACCGTCCTCCCGACCAGTCAGCGTCGCCGTTCATCGTACAGCACCCTCCTGACCTGTCGGCGCCCTCCTCACAACACACCGCCCTTCCGGTTAGCGTTCTCCTCACCATGAAAACAATGCAACACTTGACAATTAGGAAAGCGTTAAGTAGCCTATGCTTAACCCTCGCCGGCACAGGCCATTTTGCGTCATTCGACGGTGGTGCGACCCCCCTCGCGTTTGGCCCCTGATTGAGCTAGAGCTTCGCGGAAAAACGAGCGTGTTGCCCGTCACGAGAGGAAGCCGATGATATCCAATTTTTAGATCCTAGGTCATCGGGTGACCTTCCAGGTCAGGTCAATGACCCAAAAATCAGGAATATCGGGACCTGTTAGAAAGTCGTAAAGTGTGGCTGCTATGGAGTTCTCCGGGGCGCTGATCACGAATATCGTGTTAGTTTTGATCAGAGATGATGTCTTTAAGCATTTAGACCAGGTCGGGTCAGGTCAGGTCAGGTCATGCGGTAGGGGTCGTGACGGGTATTCGTAATACGTGTCAACCGTCTCTGACAGCTTCGTAACATGTTACGAAGGCACCAAAACCACTTCGTAAATGTTCAAATGGTTGCTAGATTCGAAATCAACTCCAAAAACTAGCCTTGAAACATGTCAAACTCGAAAAAGTAAACCGAGGTCACCAAAGGTCATTGACCTGACCTGACCTTCAGGTGACCTTGACATCCACCCTAATGCATAAGAGCAACATCAAATCACATGTTTGAACGTTTGAAACCACGAAAAGCTTGCAAACGCGCGGCTAATGCGAGCCGACATACTCCGAATCGCGATTCCGACCAAACATGGTCTCGGAAAGTAGGCCACGGGTCAAAGGTCATTTGGGTCAGGGTCATGATATTTTCAGGGTAGGTGTACAATTGATCAATGCGAGGGTACTGAAAGTTTCGTCGCAATCAGCCGCTTTTTACGCGAGTTATTCGCGAAAATTTAACGAGTTTGCAAAAGATGACGGATGTCATCACTGTCAACCGTGGAAGCCGTATGGCTACCCATCTACGCTGGAGTACGAAAAAACATCATCTCACGCTCTCAGTCCCAGCGGATAAAAACAACACCTAAGAACAATTTCCGGAAAGTAAAAGGATGACAGCGTTTCCGGAACGTTTCCGGAAAGGAACTTGTTTACAACCGTGACCCTCAAAATCGTATTCAAGGCCAAACTTGCGGGGAAGGCCAGCTGACAAGTGTACGCCCCCGTGACGTCACGGGTAATGTTAAACAGTCGGGCGCCCGGCACATAGGAAAGCTCGTGATGACAGCCCCCTGGATGTATTCGGGCCTCGGGGAAACCAATCAATAGACAACACGGCACGTTGAGGCAGTGGAGGCCTGCTGGCTAGGTCTCCATGGCAACGATGTCAAAACAAGGACAGTCGTCGACGGTCGTGGCGCACAGTCGACCGGTATTTTTGGGCGTGTGCAAGCATTTACTGCCTATTTATTGTTTGTAAATGTGAACTGACGTGAAGGTTAAATCGGTATCCTAATATCTGCAAGTCACCAACGGGAGACAAGTCGTCAGCGAATGAGAGATGTCTCTTCCTAACGTCGTGCGTGGACGCTGCGTGGTCGTCGGTAAGTTTTGTTTTGTGCGCCCTATGTTATATGGCCTTGCATCCATGGAAGTAAAATGGGTTACAGTGACTGGGAATATTTGACCAAAGTCGCACCAAGTTGCTACCAGAGTCCAGATATGAGATAAGATGTCGTGCAAACGAATTATTGTCTAAGGCTAAGGCTACCTACATATAACGAGGGGTGGAGGCCTGATCTTTTTAGTTGGTTTATTCGCACTAATCGTTGGTTCATAACAGTTTATTGGTTGGCTCTGAGATTGAATCCACCGAGTCCCACTTGCCTCGTTTTCCTGTACTTCAGGTGACAGCACTGCTGGCAAGACCGCACTGGTTCAAGTGTTTCTTTCCGATGGCTCCGACTTTCCAAAAAACTACAACATGGTGAGGACTGAGGACCGACTGAATAACATCGATGAACGCTTTGCTTTGATACCTACATAAAAATTATCACTACACAACATTATGAGCGCATATTTATATCATACCTACTCAAGCTAAAATATGCATTCCTTCGTTTACATTCGGGCCTGTCCACTGTTCACGTTGTCTTTATGAGTCTCACAACGCGTTAAAACCTCTCACTCGATTGCGAATTTACCTATGTTTGACTCACGCTCCGTTTGACAAAACGTTAAGTGAAACGGACATGATCTGAGCTAGAAGCAGTCCCATTGGCCACTGCATGACATGAACGTTAGGGAAACGGACTGGTTTTGACGATTCATTCACAAATCACAATGCCTCGACTTCATTTTTGATGTGGATCGCTCAGCCGAAACATAGTTTTGCAGATGCTACAAAACGATCTATCTGAGCTATCACTTACGATTTTGCCATATCGTCATATACATATTAGGTAGACAAGTATCAAGTCATTCGAAGAATTCATAAGAGATGCGATTGAGTGCTGTTTGTTGCGCCGACAGACGTTCACCGTGGAGCTCCATCAGAAGCAGGTGCGGATACCGGACACGGCCGAGTCGGTCGAGCTGTTCATCTACGACTGCTCCGGCAAGGACATCTACCGAGACGTTCTTCAGAGCGTGGTGAGGGCAGAGCGAGATACAATCGGTCGGAAAGAATAGATGCATGAGGGATTACTAAATGGTTTTCGTGAATTACTTGGTGTGTAATGCTACGGTTATATATTCAGAAACGTTTCAAATACATTAGCAGGAAATTTACATGTTCGGGAAGACGGCGATATCTTCCGATGCATTTTATGATGAATGATTGTCCACCCGCCATCTTTGCTTATGATTTAGGTACATTACTTACGTCACGAATGATGCCAAATTTCTACAGTCATCAGAAAACCCAACCCAATCCAAGAACCTCCTTTCAACCAAAATCAAATAATGATTTACCTAGAGCCAACTGCAAATTGTGAGACGGAGCCGAAAGCAACCGTTTTCATAAAGCATACGGTTTAGTGAAAGCATGCATCGACCGCTGAAGTCATAATTTGTTTACTTCAATCCAGACAAAATTCATAACTCGATAATTGACCATTGGTTGCTTTGAATGCCTCAAACTATTCACATTGAATTTTTATTGTGTGTTATTAAAAAAATAACGGTTTATAAACAAAACAACTTCTCCCACTAACTGCAACTTACCACTGACCTACCTTTATGCTATTTCAGTTGAATCCAAACCTTGCTATCATCGTCTACGATGTTACGAACGAGAAGTCGTTTCAGGCTGCATCAGAATGGCACAAGTTCATTCGCGAAACAAAGAAGGACAAAACAACTCTGCCAGGTAGTAAGATCAGATGCCTTCTCCATAAAAACTCAAAATGTGTGTGCGCAGCTGGGGATAAACGTACAAGTACATTCAACAAACTATAAACGAATAAACGGATAAAACAGGATAAACGTACAAGTGCATTCAACAAACTAACCCGTGGACGTGTTTGACTCGTTGATTTCTTCGTCCAAACAGGGGTGTTGATGGGGTGTAAGACGGACCTAACGGAAAGACGCCTCATCAGTCCCAAGGAGGGGAACGATCTCGCCAACAAGCTGGGCTTCGTGTACATGGAATGTTCTGCCGTGAGTTCTTATTAATAGTTATCGGTAATTTAATAGAGTTAACGTTTGCGAACTTCACAACAATCATTTGAACCGTAATTGAGTCCCGGTTAGTTTGGATTATTTTATTTAGCTATTTTATTATGTTACGCGTTTTTAATTGGTATACTTCATTGTTCACTTTTACTTTCATTTTGAGTGGTAGTTGATGTTTCGTTTATGGTTTTTGCATTCATTTGTTCGGAAAGAATTAACAAAGCATCGATCGTTACGAAACTACATGATACGTATGAAATAGGACGTCACACCTGAAATAGTATCATCTGGAGATGTTGATGAACAAACTTTCTATTTGCAGAAAGACAACCAAAACATCGACGACGCGTTCTTCTATCTTGCAAACGAGTGGCATAAGATGTACTCGAATGGTGTCAATGCAACCCTCAACGCTGCTTGAGTCGCAGCGCCGAGGCGAACAGCACTCCCAGCTATTTGTTTGCGCGCATCCCTGTTTCGGTCGGCTTCTGTCAATGTTTGACGGTACTGGAAACAACTTATGGCCAATTGGGGGGTGGCCACTTTGCCCCGGCCACTTTGCCGGTTGGACAGTTACAAGAAGACGTGACTGTCGTGTTAAGCCACCGGTTCTTGTTTCTCAATGCCAATTGAGAAACGATCAAGTGTCGGTTTTTACCCAACAACTTTTACATGAGTCGCCCGAATTTAAGCATGCGTTGAGAATGCGCTTGTAAGTTGTTACCCACGTATGTAGGTAGATGGTTCCGTGCATGAAATGATTGACACGAGATGCGCAAAATACAGCTGAGGCGATGGGATCAAAAGGAATGCATATTTGTTATACTGTGCTAGTATCAAATAAACGAGATGATAATATTATGGATTTTTTTTAAAGTCATGGAGCATCATTATAATTCCGTTTTTATGAAAAAATCGTGCACGATCTATAAGCAAAACCCCGCGGGGCTCTTCCACCACGACGCTCAGGGGTCTTTCGCTTGATGGCGCTTCTAGCGACCGGCGCCCGGGGTCAGGAACGCGAACTCTGACATTCGATGACCGGTGACCCTTGGTCGTCTGACGTTTGACCTGCAGCTTAATGGGAATAGTTCACTTTCCCGAAATTAGTTTGTCGCAATGGATTTGCGATTTTTTTATGCTCAAAATCATCAGCAAAGAAAATAATTGTTTTATAAAAAGACTATTTTGGCTATAATTTGATTACGAGCGAGCGAGCGCAGCGAGCGAAGCGAAGTCTTTTCAATATAACGGAAAAATCTCAGTATGAGCGGCCCGGCCCGGCCTGTAACGCTTTTGAGAGGCTTATATCTCACCAACCGCTTGACCGATTGGCCTGCGGTCCTTTTTGCTGGGTAGCCCCATCCCTTCTACCCCGTAATTGACTACTTTTGATACAACTCAGTGACCGTCGTGGCACGTGCCACGTGAAAAGTCAAGGGTGTTCAGGCTGTTTTGCAAAAGTCGTGATTTTGAGAGGCTCATATCTCAGCAGCGGCTTGGGCGATTGTCTCGCGGTAATTTTTGTAGGGTAGCTGCATCCCTTCTACCAAAGGTCGGATACCTACTCTTGATCTATGTGAGTGACCCCCACTGCACGTGCAAAATACAAAAAGAAGAGGTGCCAAATTTGTTCCCATTTCAATAACTCGGTAATTACTGGGGCGATTTCGCTGAAACTTGGCATACAGGTAGGCACCCACCAGGCAATGCATTCCCATGTGTTGCGGTTAGGGTGCTACTGCACGTGCGCACGTGCAGGGGGCGCTTCCAGATCTCGAGAACGGCTGGGCCGATTGCGCTCAAATTTGGTACACGGTTGGGGACCGGTTATAGTTCGTTTTTTCTAAGTTCGACCCTCACTGTAAACATCTTTTTGAACATAGCACGAGAATTGCTAGCTGAATTACTAAGAAAACTGGTTAGCGCACATTGTACTGCAGACATGAATAATGTTTTCCAAATAAGTTTTAAAAACCGATGATATACCGTTCTGTTAAACGCCGTACGATCTATTGATCAGTTCAGTTATAATTTCTGACAAGATGTCTATCCCTGTGGGGTTGTATATAAAGGCAAATACGAGCTAGGAGTCTGGGAAATAAGAGCCAGGAAGAAATAATTTTGAGTAAAATTAATCGTCTGTGAAATCAATGTGCGCCAGCCAGTTTTCTAAGTAATTCAGCTAGCAATTCTCGTGCTGTGTTCAAAGAGACGATTACAGTGAGGGTCGAACTTAAGAAAAACGAACTATAGTAGGGTGCCGTGCAGAAGTCACTTTGGACCAGTTTGGACCCCGTTTGCACGTGCGCACGTGCAGAATGCCGCATCCAGATCTCAGGAACGACTGGGCCGATCGCATTCAAATTTGGTAAACCGCTAGCGACCGGTTAGAAGGGTTCTTTGCACAAGCCCATTGGAAGTAGGGTAAGGTGCCTAATTAGCGACCCCCTTAATTTGAACCGTCGTTGCTCACGCTCTGTGGGTGCCACTGTATTACTGGCTTGATTTTCGGAGAGATCGTTCATTTTTCTATTAAAATATAGTCATTTTCTGCCCCAATATTCACTGACTTATTTGTAGTGAGCATTCTGGCAAACCATTGCAAAAAACGCTAATAGGGAACTCTTCCCGATTAGCGACCGGGGAGGGTCGCTAATAAGTCTATGGGTTTCCCCATATAAAAAATGGCAAAAAATGCGACGCCTGAAAAGATGAAATATGATCTCAAAAAGGTAACCTATACGCAAAGCACTCAATCACTCGAACAGGAACGTCTATCCAACACATTTTACGTAAGTAAAAACTGATCACGTGATGCACCGAAGGCGAAACGAAGGCGGAAACCCAAATTTTGCGGGCTATCTCGTATGATATTCGAGGTCCGCGCTGAATTCGGCACCCCTGCAGTCGGTGACGACATTTGGCATTCCCTGCCACACATTGCAAACTTAAGCAACACCTCATTTTCATTTCTCTCTTTTCCCCTTTCTTTCCCTTCTTGAGCTATTTGCGACCATGTCAGGCGCAAATAGAAAATATGAGTTGCGACACATTTTTAACCACCATGCTGTGCACAGTTGAGCGATTCACTATGGGAAAACGGCAATCAATTGAAAAAGGAATGTCGATTCAGAATAAAAAAGGTGCATCATCCTAATGTGCATCGCTTTTCATCAGAGAGGGCCCAAACAGACAGGTTTTGGATAAGAAAATCGTCATTTTTATTTAAACTCACCTGAAACGTCCCACCAGAAACATCGACGATCGGAAAATAATTTAATTTGATAACCAAAGTATGGCTGACCTTTTGACGATGTTTTTACCCCGTTTTCTCCTGCCAGTTTTTCTGTAGGGAGGTAGGTCGCAAATCGGAAAGGGTCGCTAATTAGGCACCTTACCCTACCCTCTCGCCCTTCCGCACGTGCAGGGCTCACTATCTCGCTCGCTCGTTCTTCGCCCAAAAGGCGTTTTACTGGTATAGAAAGAACTATATTCTATATACAATATTGTTTGACACAGAAGCTTATGACGCGTTGACCAAATATATTGCGTAGTACAAACCCATTGGCTGTACCTAAACAGCATGCTGATTGGCTGACGAATGACGATGACGTGGCTGCATTCCTCGGCAAGGCACTCTTTTCGGAACGAGAAATGGAATATCTTCGTCTAGGGTGATCGTTGAGCCGCAAAAGCTTCTGATATGTGCTAGTCTCAGCTCAAGCTATTACACAACTGCTATTCCAGTTCAAAACCCCATGCTAAAAGTGAACTATTTTCTACAAAACTATGTAGGTACCTATATTAATCTATTCATGATTATGTTACTAACGCTCATTCGAGCTCCACCTTCCGCACATCGGTGCGTTGCCCAGAAGTCGCGTTAGAATGGGGATGTTCAGTTTCCCCCTCCCCGCTCTGAGGAGGCGTGAAAATATTATCCCGAGCAGCCCCAGCGGAGCGCGCTTTAAAACCCGCGCCCTGCTGGGGGGGGGGGGGGCTGAACACTCCCCCGTGGGTTTTCGCAAATATCTCAGAAACGTCCGCCGCTTTTAGCACACCTTATCAATTCTGCACATGTTGTAAAAATTACAGACCAAGGTCCTTCAAGGTCAGGTCACCATGGGTCACTTGAAGTGACCTCACCTCATATACCTAAAGTTTCAATGTCCGCCATAGCAACACCGAGTGACCGATCGCTTTATAACTTTCAGTGATTGCTAAGAGCAATAGTATGTAAAAAAAAAATTCTCAGAATTTTGCTATCGATGACCTAAGGTCAGGTCAATTTTGCGACATCCCCATTATAAGTCAATGGGAGAAAATATTTCGCCTAAAAAAAAGAAAATATTTCGCCTTATCAGTATTATTTTAATATATCCAATTTTGTGCATTATTTGAACATTAATATGAGCAAAGGCTACTACTTCTCGTACGAGAAGTATTACATTAACATAGTATGTATAACGATGCTCATCACAGCCATCCATTTCATTCATTCAATGGGAGAAAATTGAAAGGCGCCGCTTTTGGACGAAAGCCATTATAAACACTCCTTAACACTGAATTATAAGTAACAAAGACACGCTGAACACGAAAATGGTATCCGTGACCCCTGTTTATGCCTCTGAGGTCATCTCAGGTCACGAATGGCACCTAAAAGTTTTTCGCGAATAACTTTTGATAGAGGCATGCTAGAGCGATGAAAACGTCTTGGTTGTGTTCAGCTCGATGATTGCTCGACGTTGGCTTCTTGGAAATTGTCGACATTTGATCTGAAAATCGGCGCAACTTTTTGCCTTCAATGACATGACTTCTGGTGACCTGATCTTTGACCTGACCAAAAATGTGACTGAAGTGATTTCGTCATTATTTTTGGCGCTCTTTCTAGCGCCGCCTTCCGCGTATCGATACGTAGCCCAGGAGCCGAGGGGAGGGGAGGGGTGTTCAATTACCCCCCCCCCCCAGCAAGGCGTGCAAATCCAGGACCCCCAGGGGGCGCGGGTTAGTAGTATTTGTGCTTTGTAGAAGTATTACTTATATTTAGGCACTTTTGTTAGTTGTTACCGTCCTCTGCCTGTGATATCGCCAGCCTTCACAAAAGTCGGGTACGCCGCCATGAAGTAGGTATACGAAGAAAGAACCACTGGAGCTACTGGTGAAAGTAATCTTACTCGAGGGCAGCGCTTTTCGAGGAGCGCTGTGGCCCGAAGGTTTGGACTTTGAATTGTGAAAATCGCCCGCCCGCCGCAAAACGCAAACGCCGCAAAACGCGCAAAACGCACGCCCGAAACCCCAACGCAAAAGTCGCAAAGAATAAATAAACGCCTGCCCGCCGCAAACCGCAAATAAAAAAAAACGCAAAAACGCCGCAAAACAATAAAACCGCCCGCATCGCACGCCCGCTAACCGCCAACCGAAAACGCCAAAAAATCGCCCGCCCGCCGCCAAAAGCAAACACCGCAAAAAAAACGAAAAAGCGGCCGCCAACCGCAAACAAATTTAACACCGCAAACGCCGCAAAAAAAAAGAAAACCGCCGCATCGCCGCCCGCCCGCCCGCCGCCAAAGACAAACACCGCAAAAAAACACAAAACGCCCGCCCACCGCAAAACGTAAACACCGCAAAACGTGCAAAACGCACGCCCGAAACGCCAACGCAAACGGCGAAAAAAATCGCCCGACCGCCGCAAATCACAAAAAAAAACGCCGAAACGCCGAAAAAAATAAAACCGCCCGCACCGCACCGACGCTAACTGCTAACCGAAAACGACTAAAAGTCACCCGCCAGCCGCCAAACGCAAACACCGCAAATAAGCGCCCGGCAGCAGCAAGATAATAATTTATCAACGACT